GGCCATCGTTGTTGGGTTGGAGGCCATCGCTAGCAGGTTGGAGGCCATCGCTCTTAGGTTGGAGGCCATCGCTAATTTAGTTGGAGGTCATCTGCATTACGTTGGAGACCCTCGCTATTAGGTTTGAGGCCATCGCTTTAAGGTTGAAACACTTCTGGAGTACCATCTCTGACACCAGTTCAGCTGCTGAGAGCCGCACTTGATGCCCTCCAGTGGCGGCGGTAGCGAATCTGGGAACTGGAAGCGAAGAGTGTGCGCCGTTGAGTTGTTGATGTGGAAGCTGACGACCTCAAGCGATGCCGAGAGGTCGTGAGTTCCTCACATCAAGATATTGGGATGATCTAGTAGCGAACATTGTTTCTAATAGCAAACATTGTTACTACTAGTAAGGCACCTGTTCCTAGTAGCGTGGCACTTGTTCCTAGTAGCTTATTGTTTCTACTAGCTTCTTGTTACTACTAGTAAGGCACTTGTTACTAGTTACTAGTAGCTTCTTGCTCCTACTGTTCTTCCGATCTTCCTCAAATATTCCTTAGCGCCTCTTTGGTTCACTGAAACCTCTCCCACTTTCTCCCGCTGAGGTTGGCACCTTCGCAGTGCCAACGCCTCAGGAGCGCAGCAAACACGTCACAAGGAAGCCCCAGAACCAAGACCCGGCATTGTCACAAGAATCGGAGATGAACAGGGCCGTAGCACTTCTCGTAAGTGGTCGGAGGTTGTCGAATCCAATACGTAAAGGCAGTATGCCTCTTCTTGGCCACACGGCCCGGAAGTGAGCAAGGACAGATTGGATGAGCCCAGGCACATACCTCGCCCAAATCCAGCACATCCTCTTCATCCGCGGCCACTTCCGGCAGCTCCCAGGACACTTCTTCCTTGTAGCCCTGTCCCACAAAGGTCACCCGAGCGTCCTAGCGCTAGGACGCTCACCGGAGTCTGCCCTGGCATTTCACCAAAAAACATATACCCGCATATTCTTCTGCTGCTCTTGCCTCACGGACCCCTCAGGTGGATTGATTCTTTGCTCACACTCTTTAGCTCTTTGTGTGTGTGTACCTGCTTTTGGGGAGACAATCTTTGCCGTTCTGGAGTGGAGTACTTGCTTCGACATGTTTGGGTGATCCTTCCCTACCCCGGACATTCACTGAGTAAACCAAAAACAGTTGGATGCACAAATGAACAAGTGCAAATGGGTGCCCCTACTTCAAGTCTAATGGGTGCCCCTCCTCGTAGGGATTCTGCGCAGTTTGAAGCCGGAGAGAGCTGCTCAAGTCTCCGAGCCTGGAAAGAAGCGGCAGCACCGGGTGCAAAGCATGTGAGGGGGGGGTTGCTACTGTTAGCGCAGTGTCTGTAGCTTGTTCCCAAGAATTCCCAAGATCCATATTCTCTGCATGGTGTTGGTGTCTTTTGAAAGAAACCTTTCACCAACTATGAATAATTGCACATACAGTACAGTAATTGTTGTTTTTGGCTTCCGTTCTCGATGCTCTGGTCTCGGCTGGGGCAGGATTTCTTACAAATTCTTCAGGCACACAGATGAAAACAATTCTCGTCCACCAATCAACCCAAGCTCACCCCAAAATTCACTACAACAATGTCCAGTGTCAGGACTAGACCTGGCCAAGGCGCTCAGTAGGTGAAAAGAAGACTTGAAACTTCTGCGATGCCTTCGCAGGAGCAAAGTGGCTTTGATTTGCTTTGATCTTAAAATCCTTCAACAATCTAGCCGCGTGAGCCTATCAAATGGCCTCATGAGTCATGCAACACGTGCACCATATGCATGGGGCACAGGCAAGAACAAGAAGCAAATAATGAGCTATTCGGCTATTCATGTCTAGTACTCATAAAGTAGCCACAAGTCAGTACTTGCGTGCTCTACCAGGCGGCCACTTGGATACTACGATGTAGTGATGACATCAGCGGAATGACCAACAGCCAAAGGCGGCCTTGGGTTCTAAAGTGATTCGCCGCGGACAGCTCAAGGTGAAGTGGGGACTCTGAGAGAGTTCCTGAGTCGCAGGGTTAGTCTGCACCGTGGAACGCAGGGCGGTCTGAAGCGGCCTGGGCCATGTCTTGCCATGTCTTCGGATGTCTTGGATCTTTAAAGTCTCACAGTGCTCCCCCCCTCTCTCCATGACAAAACCAAGTAATCCCAATTCATGATCTTTTGCAATGAGCTGGCCTTCAACAAAAACATAAACCAGTCTCTGCTTCCATGAACTATCCACCTACATTATAGCAATTAGAGGTGTCAGTCAGTTGGTGGCCCTAGCTCTCACTCCTGAGGTGCAAACACGAGCGTCGAAACGAGCCGCTGCTGGGATATCACCCTGATTGTAGAGGGTGAACTCAACAGACTGCCGCTTTCCAATGCGACCTCTGCCAAAGTCATACCTCAGCTGCTCAAGATGCAGCGGGCCACCCACAGAAAGAGTCAGAGTAAAACTAAAAATGAAAAGGTGGTTCGTTTCCAAAGTGAAAGAAGATCTGAAAGGTGTTGAGCGTTGGCCGAGATCTAGATGCCTAGTCAGTAAGCAGCTAGTAGTGAGCATTGTCTGGGCTTCAGGCTGTGAGAAATCACATTATTTTAACGGTCCACACCCCAGCTCATCCCCTTAAATGCTGGGGCGGGGCAGTGGCCCGCCTGTCCGCCTAGTGTTGCACCCGGGGATGGAATCCAGGTCCTACGCATGAGGGATGCGTCATAGCCACTAGACTAGACCAGGCCTCTGGGCAAGCACATTCCTCAACTTTAAGCACGGTGCTGGCCACCACTGTCACCAAAAATTGTAGGGCCGCTCAGTGCGATTGATGGCATTGCACCATCGCCTCGTATCCTTACAAAACACATCACAACACGTTGTTCAAAAACACATGCAGATCATGCCCGTCAAACAAGAATACAATCTTCACAGTCCATGATCTGGACAGCAAAAACCAGAAGGTTCTTAGAATCTCATTGAGACTATCTAAGTCCTCCTCTATATTATATATAACACGTATTAACGCGTTGCTAATTATCAGTGATTTTTTGCACTTCAACTCAGAAATGAAAAAGTGGCTGGCGCGCGGCAGGGTATGCTTTTCTAATGGCTAGTGATGACTGTCTTCAACTAAGGTCAAAGGGGCATACAAACCCATCATCAACATCATCAATGATGATGTGACCGCAGCGTGCGGTTTAAGACAAGGATCTCAAATTTGAGAATGTTTGTCTTGGGATCCTCAAGCGAATCGAACAATTTCTGACCCACAAACAAGGGAGATGACATGGTAGACATCAGAAAGAAGTGCATGAAGGTACTGCCTACTGCCCTTGTTTCCATTATGACAGCTCCGTCAATCTGTCCTTCCCCTCAGGGACTGTTGCTTCGAAGATGGCAGAATATCTCTGCAAAGCCTTCTGGTGTACACAACCAACATGTTTTAAGGGCAAAACTCACCATGTCAAGCAAAAAACACTTCTGCCAGTACGGCATCTCACGTGACACAAACTGATTCTTCCACACAGAACGCAAGGCCAGAGCAAACTTGAGGAAAGCCACGACCTTCCTGGCTCGCAACTACCAGCCTGTGGTGTGAAGCGGACCTTGATGTAGCGGTACTCATGCGGTGGGATGTGAAGCTCCTCCGACCGGACTGTCTGAGTCAAGTGAAGCTACAAATCACAAGCTCATCCCTAGCGGTCCTTGCTGGACAGCTCAAAAGGCAAGACCGGTGC